GAACACAACAATGAACAATATGATGATGATGATGATGATGAAGAACACTGAGAAGCGTTTCTGCTGATGACAGGAACAGGCAGAGGAGCTGAAGATGGAAATATCAGAATAACAGACAATCCAAAATCGTGCAGTTGAGTTTTACTCATATCTATTTACCAGCATCCATGTCATCTCAGTGACTAGGAAATAAATCATAATACTGAAAAAATTGTCATTGAGAAGCATCCTTGAGCTTGGGAAAGGCACTATATAAATTAAACGTTGTTATTATTATTATTATTAAAAAGTAAAAATGCAATTGTAAAAGTCCTGAACACAACATATGTAAATTTCCACTAGTTTCATCTCTCTGGGTCGCTTGCCACAAATTACACATACCAGGCTGTGACTCGGGTCTCATTTCACCCTTTACAAAAGAAACCAGATACTGTACATGCAGCTTGGTGTTGTCTCCAAGAGGATATAGGATGATAGAAGGATAGAAAAGTTACCAAAGTAACAACCTGTGACTTGGCTAATTTTGCATTTGACCTGCTGACTGACTCAAGTGACTAGTACAGTATTCTCAATATGGTTCGATGTTGCAATACACTGAAATCAACTACAAAATACTCACCAGAAACAATAATACTGAACTTCAATGGCGGGACCTCTATCCCACCAACGATCTGCAGTTCATAAAGTCCAGAGTCTTCAGTTGTGGTGTTTGTGATGGTCAGAGATCCAGTCCGATAAACCAGCAAAGGACCAGCATAAACCAGCAAAGGACCAGCTTAAACCAGCATCCCAGCGTCAAAACATACCTAACCTGCATATGCTGTTTTTTTCAACAGGGAAAGTAAATTAACATATTTATTGTTTGATTACAAATGCACACTTAAACTCAAGAAAAGTTCTTTAAAGAGCTACAAAGTGAAAGCGAAAGTCTCGAAGCTTTTTAAATACTCACCTTTTGCGAGCAAAAAGCATAGAAGTAAAACAGGGGTCTTCATTTTGGTGAGTTGTGGCATTTAATGAAGATGTTGAGTGTAACATTAGTGAGTAAAATGTTACGAGTGTTTAGCCTTTAGCTCTTATCATAAATCCGCGCTGACAGCGAAAACACCCTTTTCTAACTTACATTTTTGGTTGTAACCGACCTAACAGCACTATGTAGAGATATTTTATACTCTTTGAGATTCATTTGTGAATCATATTCGTCTTCGGAATCATATTCCTGATTATTTCTCTGCTGAGAAGCCATGCAATACGCGTATACTGGCGTTGAGAAGAACGGAAGTATTATTCGATAAATGTCAGGAAGTTATTAGTCCTGTAGGATCTCGAAGGAAGGATATCGACTCACGTCGCCACCTAACAATGCAAACAAAAACACCCACTGAGTGATATAATTCAAATAAAAATGAATGTGTTCGTCAGTAGTGATGCAATGTTGAGAAAACACTTCTTAAAACTGAAATGATTTTTGTCAATCCAGTGGTCAAATGCTGTGTGGCCTCTCAATTCTCTGTGTAATTATAGCCATCTGACTAGTGACTGGTCTGTGTGTGAATCTCCACAAAACTGTGGTATGATAATATGTAATCAATAAAAAGGTAACTGTAGTCTGATTTCACAATGATCGTATCCCACTAATAATATAAATAAAATAGTTTGGTACTGAAAAGCTAAAAAGCTTTGGTACTTAAAAAAAGCTTGAAAACTTTAAGCCATGCTTTTTGTTTTTGTTTTTTTGGCTTTGTCCTCAATTGACAATCGTATCAATCAGTGGTTTTACAGTGACCATTTGAAAACCATTTGAGACAGATTTGACTTGCTATTTCAAGAAACACTCTAAACACTTAGGAAAATCCATCGTTAACATTTTCATATGACATGTTCCATTAATACACAGCTTTGTACTTTTTCTTAGTGCCAAAATAGAGAAGTGGTTTTAGAATAAATTTTGAAGTTAATTGAAACTAGTGAATCAACAGAAAGCTACTAAAGCGCTTTAGTCAGTGATTAAAGGGGTCATATGATGCTGCTAAATATAACATTATTTTGTGTATTTGGTGTAATGAAATGTGTTTATGCGGTTTAAGGTTAAAAAAACACATTATTTTCCACATACTGTACATTATTGTTTCTCCTCTATGCCCCGCCTTTCTGAAAAAATATAAAAAACGTACTTACAGTCTTTGAGTCAGAACAGCCGGCATTGTAGTCTACTCTCCCAGGATCAGGAAACAGTCCTCCATAAAATGTGATGCACACATCTGAATATTTGGGTTGAAGTGTTCTGGAACAGTGTTGTAAATACAACTTAACCACTGATTTCTAGTCGTGTCCTCTTTTGGAAGGCCAAACAAAATAGTTTCGGTTTCACAACGAAACAGCGTCACACACCACGGCTTTGAGTGAGCAGCGGCCGGTGGGCTTGAGAACAGTGAGGCCGGTGGATTTGACGAAGGAGCGTCTGGCAGGCTTGGGGCAACCACATGTGACGACCCCGTGCTGGACTCTGCTTCGTCCACGGTGAAAG